AAAAAAAAAAAAAAAAAAAAAAAACTGTGTCTCTCTGGATTCGCTAGGCGCATTAGGTGCTGCAGTGGGACTACGTGTACATATTGGGAAGAAAAAAAAATGGTCAAAACTTGCCTCCTCACCATTTTAAGTTTTAAATATAGAATGTACTACTAGTGTTAAATTTTATGTAGTTGCTAACAGAATTGGTATGTATTGTTCTAATTTTATTATTACTATTATTATTATAAGTAGTAGCATTAAAATAACATCTTGAAATGTTAAATTATCTGCTACTAAAAATAATTATCTACAGTATAATATCCTAATCTATCTGTAACAAGAATTGTAGTATAATTTCTAGGCCAATGACCCCATCTCGATCAAGTTTTGTTCAGTTTCCCTGGTCCCTTGAGAAAATGCTGAGATGGCCCCTTGTTTGCTCTTGAACAGTAATGTAACTTCGCTCTCTCCGCTCAAGACATCACATTGACTCGTCATACACGGTTGTAATTGTATATGTAACTCAATAAATATTATTATGATTATTATTATTATTATTACACGCAACAAGCTGCATGAAGGCTGACAGAATTTAATAGAATTCTGGATGCGTAACATAATGAACTTAATTTAGTGTTTAATTGTGGCTTATGTAATGAAATAATAACAGAAATTTCAGTGGAACAAATTTTAATGTTAGCGTCATTTGATTAATTTCATTGAGTTCTACCGTAAAAGTAACACTAAAGTATAATTAAATATTTAAGATAAAACAATTAATCGAAAATTTTATTAAATATCAGACTACTGTACCACGACTTATAAAATTCCGTTAACGATTTTCTCCAGTTCTATTTTCTTTTTCAATTTGTTACTATTTTTTCCCATCAGCCCCATCATCGGGCCGCTTGACTCCCAGGCAATTACGCAGTCTGCCCATGGCTGGTGCTGGCACTATGCTGGAGCTTTTCTTCCAAATGTTGACAAATGAAGAACATAATTACGGTCATTTCCAACATGGCTTCGCATCCACAAACACACACTCCTTCAGTTTTCTTAAGGGTTCACGGAAACAGAATTTCCACATATGGTTTGTGGCCTGCATGCTCTCCCGATCTGACTCCGTAAGATTTCTTTCTTTGGGGATTCCTGACAAACCTCGGGACAAACTAAAGCATAGTTTATCAGTCCCACAGAACTCTCGAACTTTCCTGTTCGCTGCTAACTTGACTGATCGCTGATGATTGATATTTTAATATTGGGGGTACTTTATATGAAGCCCCTGGGGCATTTTTCCAAATTTCCAAAAAATTGCTCCATCGGTTCTGTTTAATTTTTTGTTTGATAGTGTGAAGGACAGTTAAGAGAATGGTGCAGGTCTCATGTTCGTTAAAAACTCTGATTTTTAGAAAATTGCAAAAGTTCAAACTTTTTTGACTTCTTCCTACAACTAAAATATTGAAGATATAACTTTTTTCTCTTAATGATATCTGTTACTTAAAATAGATTTTGAAATAAGGTCATGTACAATTTTTCGAAAATTTGAGTACTTTTCGCATATTTTGCGTGAAAACACGGTCGAGAAAGCACGTGCTGTTCTAGCATCAATAGTATTCATATGATCCAAAATACGCGTTTCGTTTCAGTGGAAGTATCGCCAACGTTCCGCATTACAAACAGCATTACAAAAGTTTCCTATATAAGTAACTAACCTATTAGGTGAGAATATAAAATGTATCTGGGTCCATTTAATCAGTAACAATCCGTCACAATTTGTCAATCACTTAATGTTGATTAATGAGTGAGGCTCCTTCCCAAACCATCTTGTATATGTTAAGCAGTCATTGTTGACTCCAACTTAAACTACAAAATTACCTTGTGATGGTATAACTCTAGTATTCACAAATTCAGAAATATTTCTTGCTATTTATCGTAGAGCAATATTCCTCTTTTTATAAAGTATCTGATATGCCTGTAACTTGCACATTGTCATTGATGACAGACAACCTCCTATGTAAAAAAAAACAACAAAATTCTACAGGAAAAGGAAAAACACTTTTTGATGATAATAATTGGCCAAGTTAAGAAATTCTACCCCTTCTAGATAATAGTATTTAATATTTATTTATTTTAATATTTTTCTGAAAGCACCTTAGAAAAACCTCCCATGTGACTCTTACCACATATGAGATATTGTAAATTGTAACAATAAATTGTAAACACATAGAGAGTTTTTATTTTCTATTTTAAGACCACAAATTCTAGTTATCTTTCTAAATTTTCTCATCAAATTTGAGAACTAGCAAATTCTGAGTTGTTGATACCAAAATGTAAACATCACCAATTCCCTCTCATAGGAGATGGAACATCATCAATAACAATAAAATAATATTAAAAAAATGAGAGTTCCCATATATTTAATAAATAAATAAATAAATTGCAAAAAAACCTAGGAAATATGATTTGAAAATTACAAAGTGAGTGAAAACTTAGGAGTTAATGAATTGTTACCAAAAATCACAATCCTTTAGCTAAATTGTGCAAACTGTTGTTCAACAGCTGAGCTCACTGTCATATCCTGGTGACAACATTGACTGACCATTACTTTTGCAGGTAAAGATTGACCTGCAAAAAGCCATCCTATTCCTAATAAATTTCTAGATAGTTAATTAGAATTTATAGTCTCCTTTCTTACTGTTATTTTATGTGTCTAAAATATGGAAAAGGAAGTGAACTCAGAACTCACTCTTTAACCAACAGTGGTTTTGGGAGTGTTGAAAACATTTCAACAATAATTTACTTACTTTCAATGTTTTCTTTGCAAAATGTACAAGTTGAGCCTGTGTTTCTTCTACAATGTTCCTTTGCACACAATGGGCTTTTGAATCGTCTTTTGCACATTGTACAAACAAAGTAGGAATCTGCACAAGTAAATAAAAAACAGTTGCATTATTTACAAATATAAACAAATAATGTAATTTTATCACTAATGATAATGGCTAATAATATTGTTTTCATGTTTTAAATACTAAATCTTAGATTTTTCTTGAAATATTGAGTTCAGATTTTCATCTTTGTTATGAATGGAAATTCAGTCGTTTAAATTTGGATGTTTAGTTTCTTTCATGATATTTCTATTACGTACTGGAAATCTAGAAGCATGTATCTTGTCATATTCTTCTAGTCAAATGCCAAGTATTTTTGTGCTTTGGTATCACACCCAAAATTTTTAATGGGATAACTTGGTGAGTTTTTATTACAGGTCCCTACTGATAAAACCAAGAAACTTTTTTGGTGGCAGTTTTCACAAATTGTACGGCTTTCATGATATATTAAGATCAGACAATACTTTAAACTTCAGAAATTTTTAAGATAAATGATGAAGTTGTATTTACACAGAAAGTTCTTGTTCATACTTCATATAAAGGGACCTGGTGTTGGCAATTCTGGTGATAATCTTAGTAGCTACATTAGTCATGTTAATAAAACAACAAAATTTTAAAGTTGTTCATTATTTTGAGTGTCTTTCCGCCATTACTAAGATCACCATTTTGGGAATTATTTTTACTATCTTTCTTTGTAGAGCTAAATTCAAAATATTTGATAAACTTCTACAAATTGATGCTATAATGGAGGGAATAAGTAATACTGAATTTTTTTCTGAAAATTGAATGAATTTTCAAAAATTGAAATGTAAAATGAATATTGTCCATTTATATTTATCTTTTTATGTATTTTTGCCAATCTCAATGTTAATGTTTCCAAAAGTTCAAATTGTTTAATAATAAATTTTGATCCAAAAATGTTTTGAACCAAAAGAAAATATGACTAGAATGCAAATATTTCAGAATTAGCAAACAAGGATCACCCATTTGATCATCAACTCAATGACCGTACTTCTTCTCTTAACAACCGGACTTTAATCCAAATACCAAAAATGCCCATGTATAATAGAGAATGTTCAGCTACTTAGTGTTTGTCAAAAATTATAAGGGTTGCATACAAAGTAGTGGCAACACTGCCGTCATGGCTGCGAAGGGAGTACGAGCGGGGCGGGAGTCGCGTAGCTGATAAGAAAATGTACGAGAGGCGCTGAGGCGACTTGGTACGCCCGCGCATTCATCTTTGTTTTTTATGTTCTGTTACAATTAGTAACAATGTTCTATTTGTTACAGCCACATACTGGCATGGAATGTTTTGATTTTAGTCAGTCATTACCTTTCATTCTCCCTTCGGTTAGGGGCTCGGCGTCGTTAGACCCCGGGGTTTAGGAATAGCGCAGTTTAGGAATTCCGCTACTATACGCACAAGTTTCTTGATATTCCAAAGCAGAGGGTGCGGGCAGAGGTGGGCTCTGGCTGCGTTACGGCTTAAAAGGGTGTACCAACTGTGGGACATGAACTTAACACGCCAAAGCGTGCCATGAGAAATGCTAGAATTGTTTTGAAAGTACGAGGTGGTTGTTGCCGGCATTGTAAATTGGTACGTGCCGTTCGTAGTCGAACCTAATATCTCAAAGGGCCGTGTCAAGGTCAACTTCTACTAGCGTCGGACGTGGCCGTGCTATTCAGCGCTGAGGGAGGTCTACGGAGTTCAATTATTAAGAAAACTTGCGCGTGCAAAAGCAACTCCGGCAGTTCCCAGCAGCAGGGCTGTGAAGCGAGCATTCAGAGTGCAAGCGCCCTACGAAAATACTTGGGAAAGACGGACCCATGTGAATAAAAATTGAAGTGGCTCGTGGTCGGAATGCACAACAACGTGTGCAAGAACTGCGCGAAGCGTGTGCTGATGCAGCATTGACCAATCGCACGGTGGCACGATGAGTGAAAATGTTCTGTGAAGGCAGGGATGCCATTCACGATCAGGCAGACCCCGAACGGACAACACAGTTCAGCGCCTTGCCGTTCTGTCAGATATGGATCGCCGATGGACTGCACGAGTTAGCTGCGGATGTTGACCGCACGAGTTAGACGCGGATGAATGTATATTACGGATTTGTATGCCACAAAACAGTGATACACATTCTCCATCACGTGCTGGGGTCAATGGACGGTCAATGGAATTGTATCATCATCATTATCAACATTAAAGTTATTAAATATATTATTTCACAATAGATGATATTGCGTATTTACCTTTTCTTTATTACTAGAATTACTTCGGTAATCCACTTTCTTGGGTTCCATTAACAAAGTTAAAAATACAATTGTAATTTATTCAAATGAGAGGGTGGGATGTATGGACAAAGATGGGATAAAGTAAAAACCAGAAGTTGATACTTACTGGGCACGGTAGTTGGAGAATTCCGATTGAAATCTTTTTTCGTGACAACACTGCTATCATTATAAAACAATAATAGCTCTTCATGAGCCTTAATATCCCGGCTTGTTCTATAAAATATCTGTTTATTTATTTCGGTGCTTTCAATATTTTCCTCCTCTGGGTGTCTGGCACAGTTTATATAACGCATGTAGTTACTGCGATGTTTATTTTTTGCGTTTATGAACATGTTTGTTGACTTCACCTTAAACAGATTTTGGCTGAATAAAATAAAATGGTAAGAAACAAAGTTTAAAGACATAATTTTAGAACTCCTACGTACTTTCCAGACATATCGTTTGTCTTTTGGACACGTCCGGTGTTCAGTCCCTGTGAATGGACCCATCAAAGTTCCCTGTGGCAATGCGACTCTCGCCCAGAGTCCCAGTCCAGCTTTAGGAATCCCAGAGATATTTATTTCTAATTCTCTGGGTGTAGATTTTTTCGCTGACCAATAGGGAGCCCTTTTAGGAGCAATCTTTGTCTTCAACCAACGACTATGTGTTGGACAATAGTACTTATAGGGTTTCTTACACTGGTAACACTCTGTAACAAATGAAGTACGGAATTGAATGAATTTATATTAAAAGTAATTGAATACCTAACAAATGATCAATGGACATTCGATATACATATTTCTGTACGTATTTCAAAAGATCCATTGTGAATATCGGACAGGATCATATACAAAATATCTGCCCACCACCTCTGCAAATACTAATCGCAGTTATCACATGTTTAAGTAGAGAATCACACACATGCATATGCACACTCACACATTTATTATTTATTTATTTATTTATTTATTTATTTATTTATTTATTTATTTATTTATTTATTTATTATTTATTATTTGTATTATTTAATTTATTTATTTATTATTTATTTATTTATTATTTATTTATTATTTATTTATTTATTTACTTTTATTATTTATGTTTATTTATTTATCTATTGATTTATTTATTTATTTATTTATTTATTATTTATTTGATTTATTCTATTTATTGTATTTATATTATACTATCTTATTTATTTATTATTTTATTATTCTATTTATTTATTTATGTTATTTATTTTATTATTTATTTATTATATACATTTATTTATTTATTTATTATTTATTTATTTATTTATTTATTTATCTATTTATTTATTTTTTATTTATTTAATTTTATTATTTATTTATTTATTATTTGATTCTACATTTATTTATTTTATTTATTATTTATTATTTATTCTATTTATTTAATTTAATTTATTTAATTTATTTATTATTTATTATTTTAGTTAATTTATTATTTATTTATTTATTCTATTTATTTATTTATTTATTTATCTATTTATTTAATTTATTCTATTTATTATTTATTTATTATTTATTTATTTATTTATTATTTATTTTATTTTATTTATTATTCTATTTATTTATCTATTTATATATTATTATTTATTCTATTTATTTATTTATTTAATTTAGTTATTTATTATTTATTTATACTTTATTTATTATTAATTTATTTAATTATTTACTTTATTATTTATTATCATTATTATTTTTATTTATTATTCTTATTTATTTCTATTTATTTATTTTATTTATTTATTTATTTATTTATTTATTTATTTATTGTTCTATTTATGTTATTGTATTATTTATTTATTTATTATTTATTTATTTATTTATTTATTATTTATTATTTTTTATTTATAATATTTAGTTTTATTTATTTATTATTATTTATTTATTATTTAGATTTATTATTTATTTTATTTATTTATTTATTTATTTATTTATTTTATTTATTTTCATTTCATTCTATTATTTATCTTATTTATTATTATTTATATTATATTTATTTATTATTTGTTTATGTTTATTGTTTATCTTTTATTGTTTATTTGGATATGTACTGTATGTGATGTATGATTTGTATGTATGGTATGTATAGTATGTATGTATGTATGTAAGATATTATTATGTTAATGTAATTTATAATCATATTATGTTATAGTTATTTATTTATTTATTTACTTATTTACTTATTTATTTTTATTTTATTTATACTTTTGATTTATCTTATTTATTTTTATTTATATGTTTGTTTTTTGTTGATTTGTTCTTTTCTTATTTATTTTTATAAACCTAAGTTATAGGATCACCTTCGAGAGGAGAGGAGAGGAGAGACGAGAGAAGGAGAGAGGCGAGAGAGAGGAGAGAGAGGCGAGAGGAGAGGAGAGGAGAGAGAGGAGAGGAGAGAGAGGACGAGAGAGGGAGGAGAGAGAGAGGAAGGAGAGGAGAGAGAGAGCGAGAGGAGAATCTGGGGCGAGAGAGGGAGAGGAGAGGAAGAGGAGAGAGAGGAGAGGGAGAGAAGGGTGAGGACGAAGAGGGAGAGGAAAGAAGGGAGAGGGAGGGAGAGTGAGAGGGGAGAGGAAGGGAGAGGAAGGGAGAGAGAGATGAGGAGACAGAGGACGAGAGAAGGAGAGAGAGGGGAGAGGGGCGGGAGAGAGAGAGAGAGAGAGAGGGAAAGGAAGGGAGAGGAGAGGGAGGAGAGAAGAGAGGGGAGAGAGAGGGAGAGAGAGGAGAGGGAGAGGACGAGAGAGGCAGAGAGAGAGGAGGGAGAGGAGAGAGGAGAGAGAGGAGAGAGGAGAGAGAGGAGAGTGAGAGGAGAGAGGGGGAGAGAGAGGAGAGAGAGAGAGAGAGACACACACTCACACACACACACATTCCATAGCGTATCCACCCCAGGGGTGGATACCTATTTTATAGTGTATCCACCCCTGACAAACTCAAATTAGAAGTAGGTCTATGTATTAGTGGATGGAATGTGTGAAACTTACCGTATTCCTCGTTTTCCTCAGCGTCAGTGTTAGATGAGTCAGCAGTCATTACTTTTTTCCGAGGTCTGAGGAACCTTTTTGAGGTTACCTTTTTTGACAATTCAGTTTCTGCAAATTTAGTATATATATTTAGATTAACTTGAACACAAATTATCATAAACAATTGAAGTATCTTATAATCACTCTGATATTACTCAAGTATTTGGAGGTTGTGAAATAGACACAGACCACTCTTTGATGGAGAGCAAAATGAAACTAGCATTACAACAACAAAAAAATAAGGAAAATTGTAATAAAACATCCCCAAAACTCAACATATTCCTTCTAGAAGATGAAAGTATTAGAAGCTTATATGAAAGAATGAGAGAAAACTACAGAAGATAGAGAAACAAAATATTGAGACATTTTTGGGATAATTTAAACAAACTACTATTGAAGCAGGGAAAGAGTGTAGACTATAAACCATTCAAGAAATCTAAATGGTTGAAAAGTAGGACACTGATCTAAAAGACATGATAAAAACAAAGGAAGAAAGCATACAGGACCTAACTCCAAAACGAACCTCTCTTAGAGGCACACACTTCAATGAAATATGTGAGAATTTCATGGGAGAAGAGCAATGTGTTTTCCGAAACACTAAAGACGCTAACTACTAACTTTTATAATATTTATTGATTATGAAAAGGCTTATGACAAAGTTAATAGACTGAAATTGTGGGAAATACTAGAAGAGAAGAAAGTTCCAAATAAATTGCTCAATGCAAAAGTTGCTACAAGAATTCAAGAATTAAAATACTGTTAAGAGAGAGAGCAAAAAGTCAGTAGCAATAACAACCAACAGTGGCTTAACGCGATGATGTAGATTATCACCCATCTTCTTCAGCATATATATTAACCACTTAGTGAGAAACTGGAGAAGGAAAGTTAGACAAGGAATGCAGATCACAAAACATAAGATAGGTGCAATCCTGTATACTGATGACCAAACTATCATAATGAATTCTGAAGATAATTTATAAGGAGAAGTTTTTAAATGACAAAAGTGGACCAATAATATTCCATGAAGATAACAGTTCAGAAAACAAAAGTTATTGCAATACAAGGAAAGGAATAAAGGAGACCCAAA